TCAGTGTCCAGGTGCTCATTGCCAGTGGATAGTGATATACTTGGTTTCTGCATGTTGACCTTGTATCCTGCAAGCTTGCAAGTTTTTACCTCTAGGCTTCTTACAAAATATTATTATAGATTCCTTGGGATTTTTTCACACAGACAACTAGGTATTCTGCAAGTAAGAGCGGTTTTCTTTCCTCCTTTCCAATCTCTATGCCTTTTAATTCCTTTTCCTACCTATTGCTCTGGCCTGAATTTTCAGTGCTATGTTGGATAAGTATGGCAAGAGTTGACATTCTTGCCTTTTTTGGGGGGGGGGTTGGGGGGAGAATTCAATCTCTCATCATTAAACGTAATATTAGCCATAAGATTTTGGTATGCATTTTTATTCCAGTTGAGAAAGTCCCTCTCCATTCCTATTTTTCTCAGATTTTTAAAAATTATAAATAGATGTTCAATTTTATTCAATGCTTTTACTGCATCGATTGATAGGATCATGTATCTTTTCTTTTCACCTGTTAGTTTGGTGAATTCCATTGATTTTCTAATACTGAATCACCCTTGTGTCCCTGAAATAATCCCCAGTTGGTCATGGGTGTATAATTCTATTTATTTATTGCTGAGTTCTCTTTGCTAATGTTTTGTTAAGAATTTTCACATCTATATTCATGAGCTATGTTAGTTCATAGTTTCTTTGTGTCCCTCGGATTTTGGTATCAAGGTATACTAATCTCATAAAATAAGATGAGAAGTATTTACTCCTCTTCTATTTTCTGGGGAAAAAATGTGTTGAATTGGTGTTAATTTTTTCTTTAAGTATTTGTAGAGCTCTGCAGGGAAACCATTTGGGCCTGGAGATTTTTTAGGGAGGAATTTATTTTATTACAAATTCAATTCCCTTAACAATTACAGAGCTGTTCAAATAACTTGTTTCATATTGGGTCAGTTTAAATAGTGTATTAGTTTCCTAGGGCCCTCCATGAAAGAATACCACAAACTAGGTGGCTTAGAATAACAGAAATGTATTGCCTTCTGGTTCTGGGAGCTAGAAGTGCAAACTTGAGGTGTCAGCAAAATTTATTCCTTCCAAAACCTGTGGGAGAAGTATCCTTGACTATCCCAGCCTCTGGTAGCCCCATTCTTTGGCTTGTGATGATGTCATTCCAGTCCCTGCGTCTATCATCACATGACATTCTTCCTGTGTCTCGTCACATCATCTTCACTCTATATGTGTCTGTGTCTGAATTTTTCCTTTTCATAAGGACATCAGTCATACTGGATTAGGGCCCACCTCAATGACACTATCTTAACTTGCTTGAATTTGCAAAGACCCTATTCACAGTTTGAAATACTGGGATTAGCACGTCAACATAGCTTTCTGGGGAGGACACAATTCAACCCATAATAGGGAGTTTCAGTTTTTCGAGACATTGCTCAATTTCCTCTAAACTGTCAAATGCATGTGTGCAGAGTTCTGCATAGTATTTCCTTATTAATCTTTCCATTTTATTTCCATGTTATTAAAATTTCCATTTTGTTTGGGGAACACACTGTGTATGATTTCAGTTCTTTTACATTTGTTGAGGATTGCTTTGTGCTTCAGGTCTGTCCTGGTGTATGTTTCATGAACATTTGGGAAAAACAACATACATCCTGCTGTTTTTAGCCGGGCTGTTCTACAAATGTTTATTACATCCTACTGGTTCTATAGTGTTAAGTCCTTCTGTATCCTTGATGATTTTCTGTTTAGTTGTTTTATCAGTTGTTGAGAAAGAGTGGTTTAATTCTGCTGCTATAATTGTAGGTTTGCTTATTTCTTCAGTCTGTTTTATGAGTTTGTTGCTTCACATATTTTGTAGCTCTGTTGTTTGACATGTGCACGTTTAGACTTTCTATGTCTTCTTGGTGGATTGAACTTTATATCATTATGTAATCTCCCTCTGTCTCCAGTAATTTGATTTGCTCTGAGGTCTACTCTATCTAACATTAATATAACCACTCATGCTTTCTTTTGAATAATATTAGCATGATATACCTTTCCCCACACTTTTACTTTCAGCTTTCTTACATAGTTATATTTGAAATGAATTTATATATACAGTATATACTTGGGTTATGTTTTTAATCCACTCTGCCAGTTTTTGTCTTTTGATTGTTGTATTTAGGCTATTTAAATTTAATTTAATCATTGATATACTAGACTTTAAAGCTGACTTTTGTTTTTTGTTTTCTCTCTTTTTGTTTCCATTTCCATTTTCCCTGCCTTACTGTGTGTTACTGAACATTATTTATTTCCATTTGATTCATCTATAATATTTTGAGCATATCTATTTGCATAGCTTTTCTTAGTAATCTCTCTATACATTGCTTTGTATACATGCAACTTATCAAAGTCTACAGGTGGTGTTAATTTACCAGCTTGAGCAAAGTATGGAAACCTCATGTCTCTTATGTCCCTTTATCTTCTCTCCTTTACAATTGTCTTAAGTGTTTCCTCTACATGTATTTAGAAGCACGTCGACATTATAATTTTTGCTTTACTATCAGATTTGATTTAGAAAACTCAAGAGGAAAAAGGAAACGTGTTTTTTTTTTAACCGTATTACTGCTTACCATGTTTTTTTTTCCTGATATTATAAGATTTCTCCTTACAGTTTCTTTTCTGTTTGGAGAACTTCCTTTAGCCATTCTTTTAGGGTAATTCTACAGGTGACAAAAGTTCTTCATTTTCCTTCATCTGAGATGTCTTGATTTCACTTTCATTTCTGAGGAATATTTTCACTGGATAATGGATTCGTGTTCTTTTCCTGAGCACATTCAAAACACCATGTCACTATTTCTTGCCTCCATGCTTTCTACTGAGAAATCTGCTGTTACTTATTAATGTTTTCCCTTGCGGGTAAGGTGATGCTTCTCTACAACTGCTTTCAATATTTTGTCTTTGTCTTTAATTTTTAGAAGTTTGGCCATGATGTGTCTTTGTGTGGATTTCTTTGTGTTTATTATGTTGGGATTTTGCTTGGCTTCATGAACCTACAGCTCTAAGTCTTTTGCCAAATTTGGGGATTTTTTTTTTCAGCCATCTTTCTTCACATGTTCTTAAGGCTCTGTTCTTTTCCTCTCTCTCTCTTTTCAGTCTATATTCTCTCTTTTGTTCAAACTGGATTATTTACATTGTTCTATCTTTCAGTTCACTGATTTTTTTTCCCTTTGCTCACTTCATTATGCTGTTGAAATCATCCAATTAGTTTTGTATTTTGATTACTATATTTTCTAGTTCTAAAATTTCCATTTTTTTCTTTAAGTTTTCTATTTACTTGCTGAGACCTACCTTTCTTTTCCTATCTCTCCATTTGTTTCAAGTAAGTTTTTAATTGCTCATTAAAGCATTTGTATTATGGTTACTTTAAAAGCTTCATAAGATAATTTGTAACATCTTTAGTGTTCACATATATTGTTTTTTTTTTCATTCGATTTGAAATCTTCCTTCTCCTTAGTATGGTGAGTAATTTTCTATTAAAGCCTGCACGTTTAGGGTACTATGTTAGGAAACTCTGAATCTCATTTATTTTGATTGGCTTCTCTAGACAGTTCTCCTGCAGGAAAAAGGGTGCCAGTTGGGAGGTGCTGCCTCTTTGTAGGCAGGTGGGACTAGGGGTTCAGGATTCCCTCTTGACTTCCTATGACACTTGAGGGGAAAGGGTGTCCCTTTTCCTGCTATGTAGGGATTAGGGGTTTAGGCTCCTCCACTGACACCTCCCTCACTGAGAGTGATACAAGTGCCGAGTTATCACTTCCCACTTGGCCTCATTATTTCTAGGCAGTGGTGAAAGTTTTGACTCTCCACTGTCTCCTCTTACACTTCCCCAGGGCAAAGTAGGAGGGGGACACATTGCTGCTATGTGGTAGGAATGTTTGGGCTTCAGTGACACCAAGGCAAGGAGGGAGGGCTGATGGAGGTTAAGTCCTGGCTCCCTATCCAGCCTTCACTGATATCACCTGGGCTGGGAGTCTTGGATGCCTCCTAAGAGCCTAGAAATGGTAGAATCTAGGTGTCCCACTTGAAGACATGGGCCGAGTGGGGCCATAGGATTTTTTTTCTTTGATGTTCTGCCAGAGTGGAGCTGTTATTTTCTGTCTTGCTGGGCTGTTCATTTCCTGGTCATTTGGCTAAAGAGAGGGGGCTTTTTTTTTTTTTTTTTTTTGGTCTGCACTTAGGGACATTTCTCATTTGTCAGCTTTTTCAGCTCTAAGTCTAGGCTGTATGAGTCAAAAAGAAAACCCCAGGATCTCACTACTATGTCACTCCTTGAGTCCCAAGGTCTCTGGCTTATCAGCCTTCTACTGTCCACCTTTCTGTCTTCTTATGCTTGTTTTACAATCTCCAGAGCTTTTATTTGTGGTTACCAAGTAGAATAGGGCCAAGCAAATGTCTTCTGTCTTCCCATTTGTGGAAGTTCCATATTTTTCTGTTTAAATATTTCTTAACTTAATGATTAAGGATCAGAATCAACTGCACCTTCTTCGTAACAGTCATCTGCTAATATCAGTGTTTTCCTTCTGAAAACAATCGTCATTTTTGCTCAAGGAGATGTTGAAGCAGGCAATTAAAAATGTTTGTGACAGCCCTTCCTTCCAGGGCCTGGAAGCTGGTCTCTGATGGATGGCCACTGTCATAGGTTTTGAAATTTCTGTGTGCACACAGGCTTCTAACAGACAAGTTATGAGTCACAATGAAGCAACATGAGTTGGGTGCAGAATTGTAAGAATCAAATCCGGGAAAGCCCAAGTAAAGACAAAATAGTTGGCAGATCAAAGAGCATTGCTCTGAGTGATGAACTGGTCAAACGGTAGAAGACAAACAAACATAAAATCCAGAGAGGCAGCCAAAGGTGTGGTGCAGGACCAGTGGGGCATGTGGGCATCGCCAGGAGCAGAGTGTGAATGTGGGAAAGTGGGTGAACAACTTTAGGGCTCAGACTCTTGTACCCGAGAGAGAAAGAGGGGAGGGAATGAGACTGTGGGGCGGAGAGGGAGGGATTCTGTCGGAGTCACCTCTGCTGGGCACGGGGAGAGGCTGGGAAAGCTCAGAAAGAGCATCTGGCAACCAAGACTGGGGCTGCTGGGAGGAGGGCAGGAGCGAGGTAAAGGGTTGAAGTTTCGGCCAAACGCCGTTGCAGGATCAGAAGGGACGACTGGAGGAGGCATCTGGAGGTCGCAGGTGCACGCTTCCCTGCCAGGGAGGAGCGGGGCTTGCACAGCACCTGGGTGGTCCCAGCCCGCGCGCCTCTGTCCCTGCGCGCGCGCCTCTGCGCTCTGGGAATCCTGTCCTCGCGCCGCACAGACTTCCCAGCCTTTGCCTTCACTTTCCCTGTTTCTTCTCAACGCGCCCACCGACAATGGATGGCAACTCCCTGCTCTCCGTACCAAGGTAAGACCCGTTTTCCCTTTTGCCCAACCCAATGACCCTCAAACTCCGTTCTCCGCTCCTGGTCGTTCATGAACTTGCCCTGGGGGCGCCGCGGTCTGTGCGGGGCTCCCAAGGAGACGGAGGACTGCACTTAGAATCTGCAAGTCTGGCTGCGGCTGTGCGAGGAGCTCTTGGGAGAGCCTGGTCCCTGTCAACTACCCCACAGGGAGCGATGCTGGGTGAGCCTGCGCGCCGGAGCAGCGCAGGGTGGGGACCAGCTCGTGCCGCCTCTAGAGCGGGGGGCTGGGGTGTGCTCAGTCCGGGGGAAGCCAGGAGCCGGACTTTCCGTGGACCCAGCCTGGAGAGGTTTCGCGCCTTGTGGGGAGACCGGTTCCGAGGTAGGGATGAAAACAGGAGGGAGCAGGACTAGGGTCAAGTACCCCTACAAGCAGTCCGCCTTGACCTGGGCGAGTGTCCGCGGTGGCTGGAGTGGGAGGTAGCGGTGGGAGCGATTGCGCCGAACCCTCGACTACACCCAGACTGCACCCAGCCGAGCCGAGAAGACCTCGGTCAGCGCCAGTCCCACCTGCCGCAGCTGGCCCCACGTCCCCTGCCAGGCTGCGAGCTCCCCCTTGACAGCTCTGGCCTTGCGCATTCCCTGACTCCACCCAAGCCCTGGGGTCCCCTCTTGGCGCAGGTCAGGGGAGCCACCCTAGACGCTGTCAGCTGGGAGCAACATGTTTCCCCGTTTTGCGTTTGCTCCTGTCTCCTCTCCCTTTGCCCCTGCTCCGCGCTCCTTCCGACTCCGTCCTTTGCGAATTTAAGAAACACATTTTAATATTTCTACCCGCATAAACCTCAGGGGTAAATTGAGGCTGTCGCTGTGGCTGGGTTGTGCCCGCTGGGCAGGTGGATTTTGCGCTCTTCGCGCTCCGCACGGAGCGTCCACACCGAGAGCAGAGGATGCTGCCGCTCCCCGGGTGAAGGTGTTTCTGCCACCTGCACAGCACCACCTCTCCCAGGCAGAAGGGGCTTAGCGCTGACCATCTTGCCATCCTTTACTTCCTCTTTTCTCGAGCAAACATCTGGACAGCTTCCAGCCGAAAATATCAGGTACTGGAATAACCATCTGAAGCTCGAATTCTTGGAGCGCATGTAAATCCCATATCCACAGGCGATAGCACACACGAAGCTGATACTTCACTGCCAAGCACCCAAGGTGGAGGTGGCAGTGGGGTAGGGAGGGCAGAGGAGGATGGACACTGCTCTTCCAACGTGTTGAAGGCTGCCATCTAGAGACTTGCAGTGTTTACATTCCGTAACAAAGTAGAGCTGCCCCAACTCCACAGGCATTTCCTCTTTAAGCTTCCCTTCCTTGGGAAGCAGCAAGGGCTCTAAAAAGGTTTCTAAGAATGGCCTGAAACTGCTCGAATCTCCAACTGTGGAGCCAAACGTGGTCAAACTATCACGAAATCATTCCACTCTGTCTTACAGTAAGAACAGCAGGAAGGTTATTTTTTTTAAACTTAAAAAAAAATACCGTCACTTATTTTTAGGCCAAAGTGTGAGGCATTTGAAAGGCAAGCAAACTGGAGGTTCACTTTCTATGCCACCTCTCCTACCTCCAAAGGTTTCTAAAATTGAAATGGTGAACTGAGAAGCTCCAACATCCCAAAAGAGACATATTTGATACCAAACTACTTGCTTTAAATCCAGTTTTGCTGATCAATACTGCTGTGTCTGAATCAGAATTATATTCCTATTCAAAAGTTGAGACCTTTTCTAAAATATTAGAAACACATTATGTCAATAACTCCTCAAAATTATTTCTATTGCAGTATTGTAAAATGACCTTTTATAGAGCAAATGAACAACAATGGAATTGTTCTGTATCTTACAGTAGCCTAGAAAAATTTTGCCATGCAATTGACATCAGCTACAGCAAATCAAACCTTTCAAATATTACTGTTTATTCACCAAGACAGTCACATTTCCACAAATCAGTATAATAATTCAGCTATTTTATTGGCATCCTTGTTCATACAAATGTATTCAGTTAATTTATCCCTTGACTACAAGAAATATAATTTTCTTTTTATAATATTTCATTGGAAGCCATAAATATTGATATGCAAACAAGTGAGCTAGAATTTAAAACCTGTAGAAATATAATATTCATAGTACCACTTGCCAATGAAACTTTGAAGTTTAAATAATTGATGACTGGATATGCTATACAAGCTTTTCAAGAAAGTGGCAATCAGGAGGAAAGGCAAGTTGTTATCAATCAAGATTTGTGTTGTCTAAATCTAAAATGTTTTCAGTATCTAAAAAAATTAAGCTGGTGATTATAAATCACTGTTTATCTTAGTAATACCAAAGCAATTTAAGACACTGTTTAACAACTGGACAGAGAGTGATTTTGTAATATATCAAGTTAATTATAGAATATATTTTTGTGTTGGCTTTTAGATCTAAAAATTTTCAGTGAATCAAAGATATAAATGACTGTAATTTTAATCAGACAATATTTGGTGCAGATTAACCTATTTTGTTTGATTCATACATTTTAGAAATTTTAAATATGGTTTTAAAAAAGCACTTGTGGGTTTTGTTTTGTTTTTTGAGTTATACTACTACATTGTCTTACCTCTGTGAAACCTTCAATTAGTTTTTACTTTGAATATTTTCCGTCTTTAAAAGTGCAATAAGTTATGTGGATTACATTACAGATTTCTTAAAATCACTGTTTGTCAAAGCTGGAACGTGTTTCACATAAGGAAGCTGAACTGTGGAGAGATGAAATGTTTCCATGTTAGTTGCATTGTAGACCCAGAACCCAAGTTTTTCTGACTAGTAGTCCAGCTCAAGGGGGAAAAAAATATAGAGTTTTTTTTTTAGACCTAGACCTTTTGGTAGAGATTCTTTAGTTATTTGTTTTAGAAAAAGTTGATTTGATGTGCCGAGGTTACATAACTAGACATTAGAAAATAAAATAGAATCCAAGCCTCATCCAATGTGCTCTTCTGCTGTAGTACTTTGTGCTGCAGTATAGTAATTACCCTTTACAGAAGGAAAGTCAGTCTCACTTACAATGGTAACTAGAGTTTGGATAGTAAAGTTGGTATTTTATCTAGTGTTATCCCATATATTAAATTATTTGATCATCGCATCCCTGAGAATTAATTATGATGAATATAATTATCTCTACTTCCTTGTTGAAAAATTTGGAAGCAAAATGAAATTAAATGAAGAAAATGATTATATTTAAAAATCCATGCAATAGTACATTGCAGAGCTCAGTCATCCACAAAGTTCATCTGACTTCAGGTTCAGTTTTGTTTTTTGTACTGATTGAACATCTACACTTAATTTTAAATGGGGGCAGAGAGGAAGAGATCCTGGTACTCAGTTTGGACAAACACTGATATCATTAGAACAAGTGGGGACAGCCTAAAAGCAAGATCATCTATTAAACCCAACAAATGCTGAAAATATCATTTATGCAAACAGAAATAATTTGTTAGTTTGACCATATCTAAGCTTGAATTTGAATTTTAAGAAAGATGTCTTCTCTTATTTTCTACATCATTTGCATTTTTTGTAGTTTTGTAGTTTTTTTGTTGTTCTTTTTGCTGTGTTTGGTTTAGTGGATTCTATTGCAGTAGTAATGTTTTTATATGACACTCTGAATCAGAAAAGCATTAAAGATGGACTTTTGAAAAATACTTATTTTGATTTAAATTTCCTGTCAGTTTATTTTAGCTAAACCTAAGTTTAGCCTAGCAATATTTCACTAAAACCCATCAGAATCAAAATTTTGTCTCTAAGAATGTTAGTTCTAGGGTGGGAAAATGTGTTTTTTTTTTCCTAATGGAGCAAACAACCCAATACTGTAAACTAGACTAAGGTCTTCCATCGACAGTTTTTTTATTGAAAGATTTTCTGTTTTCAAATTAAAACAAAAAGAAAATCAAGAGTAAATTCACACTTCTGTTTTCTATTTATCAGAAACTCTCAGAAAAAAATTATCCATAACTCTTAGCAAATTGAGGATCAGGGACAAATATTAGAATCTGTCTTGAATGTAAACTGAAGGTCATTCTCTATCCTGGAATGTATGTTCTTTTCAAGATTAGAGCTAATGTGATCACATTACCCCCAGTTCCTAATTCTCAGGGAAACACTGCCGAAGAGATGCTCTTTCCTACAGAGAATGAAGCTGAGAATTAGTGGGTCCTGGTGCTCAGGACTCTGAGATCCCACATTGCTGAAAGGTAGGAAGTATCTGGAGAAGAGAAGGAAACTCTCAAGGCAATTTCTCATAAAAACATTTTTAAAAGTCTTGAAACCCACTATTTATGCTACAAGTCACATTCTGACACTTTTAGTGGACCCTGATCTCCATCTCCATCTCTTCCTTTAGTAAAATATGTATCTGCTACCAAATAATCAATTTGTAAATGTACTCTTAGAACTCATCTCATTCACAAGAGGCACTTCTGTCTAGTATTCATTTGAATGGAGTTTTATTCTGTGGTTGAGAATTACAGCTACAAAGAATCGTAAGGAGGGGAAGAAGGAAAAATGATGTATTTGATATCAAGAGATGTAGACGCAGTGCTGAAATTAATGGCTGAGACTGTGGAATTAATGGCTTGACCTGTTGATTCTCCGTCTCTCGTATACAACATATGCCCTGCATATAATGATCTCCTGGTTCCCTTTTACTTATAACCTTCTATCGTGCCATGACCTTTATTGTAGCAGTGACTCTCAACTGGGCACAATATGAATGAACATCTTATTCTCTTGAAATGCACAAGAGAAATCAAGGCATTAAAAAAAAAAAAGAAGCAACACCCAACCATCCAAAAGAAAGCCCAGCTCAGAGAACGTGTTATTTCTTGTTTTTTTTAATTCCTCAATATGTAGGGCAGCATAGCACTCACAGAAATCACAATAAAAGTTTACTCTTGTGTAAAAAGTACAGCATGGTGGTTAAGATCCTGGTTCCACCA